GTTGTCATAATCAAGCATATTTCTATACATTTTCATTTGACTTTTTTTCTAAATCTGTCCTGTTCGCATTTCTACTTTTGATTTTTTCTTTTTTTTCTTTGTGCTTTGCAGTGCTGTCTTTCCTTTCTGTATCGCAATGACATGATCTGTCAACAAATTACAGTACAAACAGTAAAAGCGTAATGTGACTCTTGTCCAGTCACTAAGGTGTGTAACCTACGATTTACAATAATTGTCATCAAAACTTTAGCCATAGTTAGTTTACATCAGAACATCTCCAGAGTACACTGTTATACTGACAACATGACTAAGCGATTCGACTGTGTTATCCGCACACAACGACACAAGCACTCGTCCTTCTGATGCACTGACATGTTCACTGACACAGATATTTACTTTTGAGAGATGAACTAAGGATTTTGAGCAAGAGACTGGCTTTTGCAGGTGTTTTGCTATTTGTACGAATTGTTTTGAGAAATGCACTTGCTGTTTTACAAATGTCGAGGATGATTCGAGAAATGTACCAAAGCGACTGAGAAAAACTGTAATATCATGGTCAGAATATATGCCATGTTTTTGGGGGGAGACTTGAGGAGTATGAAACTACACCAAAAGTTGATGTTCATTAGCTATACACAAGTAGAAGTGCTATTAAAAGAAGGACAGTTGCTATAGCATGAAGTTCCTGGACCGTTTCAACAAGTCAATTGGCGTTGACGGTCGGGTGGATCTCCATATCAATTGCTTTCGCAATCTTAGCAATGAGCTTACGATACATTAAGCACAAAGCATGGTGATTTATTAGGACATTGTAATTATATCCTGGCAGAGCACTAGTGGTTTGGGTTGGGGTGAAGCAATGGACTCGCTCACACACAAAGACTCGTTCGCCTCATTAGCCGCTGCGTTCTCCAGCATTAATCAGCATTTCATGTAATGGGACGCCACTGGAAGGACAATACCGCACCGTCGGCATTTACACACCACACATCGATACTGGGCTTGGCAGGGGAAGAGCGGGGTTTACTTGACCTTGAGAGGCTTATTTCTGTTATGTGGGGGAAATGTAATTGACGTCGATATGTTTTGAGTGCTTGTGAAGAACGTGAGTCTGTTCTCCATTGAGTTAAAAGGATCCTTGACGCCTTCGAATTCGTGGTGGTTGCTATTGCTCATAACCGTCAGTATTAAACCACGGTATATAATTGTCCCACGTCAATTGACCCTTCGCATGGAGCTTGATTGACAGGTGATCTGACCAATCATACTTCGCCATCCGCCATTTTGTCCGACAAAGCAGTCAGGAGAGTTAGTAGATTAACATGGGAGGATTTGAACTTGAAAAACTGAATATACTGACGCCTTTCCGCGGTTAAAACAACATTCCTTCTGATTTTCATTCATGTTTATTTGATGCTATAAATGAACTAGAAGGAAGAGATGATCGGATCACGAGAAGCTTTAACTGATGCGATCTGTCACGACACATTAAAGAGCCACAAAACGTTTACATTTATTTTAAAAAATGACCAAATTTGAAAGGTGAGACTTTGTTTAATATGTTTAATATCAAAATATCGTAGTCTCCTCTCTGCTCCGCGATGTATTTTTGCATGAGAACATGGTGACGGCGTGAGAGCGGCGTAGCTTATCGGACATAGCGACGGTAACTAAGGGGGGCGGGTCTTTGCGAACGGTCAATTGTGATTGTTTCCTCAAATCATGTGTCTTGTTGAGGAGAGGTGGGGGAAAAAAAAAAAGTGAAAAAATCCCAGAGATTAAATCTAAATATATTTATTAAAAATAAAAAGATTGTATAGAAGAAAAAATTTCACAGATCTCTATAATTGCTAATAACTTGCTTTTCTAAACTAACATTTTCTACAACTTCTCAGACCTGGGATTTGAATTACCTATTTGCATCTCATTGGGGTTCTTCAGCAGTGTAAATGTGCATTGTGTTTTATTCCCGTTACTTTCAGCTGGGAAGTTTGTGAAGCTGAATGCCTCTGTCAACCGGTGTGTGTCCTTGAGCGAGACATTTAACCCACGTTCAGCATGTTTCTACTGCGTCCTTACCTGTCAGGCTTGAAAACAAGAAGCGTCTGCTCAGAAAACAGGCTGAGATTAGGAAACACAGGGACTACATGTGCAGAGATGTTGAATTCCCAGATAATAGCGAACGCTATCAGCACGTTTGGTTATCGTTCTAGCAAGTTCTCTCAAATTTATGAACAAACCTTCTTCAAGTAGCATTAATAAAATGTTCATTCAGTGTTATCTGGTCTTTAACAATGTTCTCAAAACATTATTTATACGTCATTCATGGAATGTTTGTCGAACATAAAAAACCCAGAACATTAAGAGAACATCCATAAAGTAACATTCCCATAATGTTTGAAAATTATGAAATGTAATGTTCCCTTAACACTCGTATAACTAAGAGGAAAAAAAAGAGAACTTTCAGAAATAACATTTTCATAACTTCATGGGAAAGTTTGCAATACGTTCTTAAAACACATTTTTGTAGCTGCCCTAGTGAAAAAAAAATCTATACAAAAATGTATTTAAAATACATTTATGTCATACTAAGTATACTGCAAATCCATTAACATATACTGACACATCGCATGAGACTTACTGATATAAATATTATAATTCAACTTTATTTGGAAAACGTATATATTGCACAATGCACATTTCTTAAAATTAAGTCTAAAATGTGTTTAATATCATTATTAATAAGGATATAATGTATAATATCATTAGTTAAATGCAAGGTATTTAAAGTGAACCTAAAGTATTCTTGCAATAGTTCCACTTCAGCACAAGCAAAATTAAGTAAATATGTATTTAGTTGAACTTCAGCACTATTTCTGGATAATTAAAGTGCATTAGGTACTCGTTCCACTTTAGCAGACTTTAAGTATACCAGCAGTACAATATATTAAACACATACATATAAATGTATTTGTAGTATACTTAGCATAAAATAAATGTATTTCAAATACATTTTAGTATATTTATTTATTTTTGACCAGAAAAATGTCAAGCTTTTGTGTGGTACAAACAAGCACTGGCCTTCTTATTAAATATAGCATTTTAATGAGAAATAGATTATTATTTGAAACATTCATTTTGAAGAAAGCCGATATAGTTATTTAAACAGAACAGCAGAAATACATAAAGTACTTGAAAGCAGTTTCTCCACCCACTGAGCGCTCTATGGGACGGTGAGGCGGTGTTGTACATGGTTTCTGGAACAGAAGTGTGTGTGTGTGTGCTCGTGTGTGTAGATCATTAACAGATTGAGCTCGGATCAGATCCATTTCAGCTGGTGATGATCTTGTGGGAGACCTGCGATATTTACAGAACTTGTGCTCGAGGGGGTTCGTGTCGTGTTTAATGGGCTGCGGTTCGTTTGCTGTCATCTAACAAGAGCTTTTGTTTCCATGGCTATATCAAGACAAAATAGGTATTTACACTTATAATACACATTGAACTAATTCATTAACCAAGTTAAGTCTCCTCTCAAGAGGTTCTTTTCAATTCATGCAGAGTACAGCAAGAAAGCTTTTGGCCCTGTTCCCAAGTGGCATGTGTTTAGATTTAGATTTAGTATTCTTCCTGTTTAAAAAGAATAATAATAATAAATAAAAAGTGAAGGAAAGCATTAAAGGGATAGCTAACAGGCACTTAATAAGATTGGATAATAATGATACAAATTATAATGATTAATGCTAAAAAATAATGGCATGCTCCATATCCTAGAAAGGTTAAATGAAATAAATAAAATAAAAATCCCCCCTTCCCCAGCTAAGATTTTAGATTAATCAATCAACATGTCCAAAAAGTTAAACCTGAATTGCATCAAGGAATATAAAACCCAAATGAAATATTACAAAAGTAAAGTGTACATTTGGTATACAAGCAGATTTTGAGATTAAAACCATCATAGATATTTGAAGCTTTAATATACTGTTCTTGTGGATTCACTCTGTTAATGAAAATGCAATGGCTTTACAATGTCATGCCATAATCCCGCAGCACATATATATATCATTTTCTTATTTATTATTATTTTTTTCAGACCACTGTGCTATATTTCATTAGAAAAGGACTGTAAAACAAAAATACAAAAGCAATTTATAGGACATTTCTCACAAAATGTGCCCAGCTTCTCTTCTTTTTTCTTTTTTTTTTCCCCCCCGTCCCTCTGAGAAATGTATGGCTTTATGCTGACCCTTAAAGAAATGAGAAATGATCAAATTTTGTTCACGGTGCTGCAAAAAAGCTCGACACATCAGCAATCACAACGTGTACATAATGCGAAGCAGTACGAAATAGCATGAATTGGTTATGCTCAACCATAGATACTGCGCTCGAATCTCGAACCTCGCTGAAGAACAAGAGCGCGGATCTGAAAACACACGACAGAATTCAGTTCTTCTGGCGAGAGACAATAAAACTGGACATCCGGTAAGAGAAACGATGGACGCCTGAACTGAACTCACTCACTGCCAAGCTCTCTATGAAAGGACAAGACACAGTACAGCCGATGAATCCTTATAAAACATGTATGACAACATCATGGTAGTGTCTGAAATCAATTCCTGTATTTTGGTTCTGCCCTTACGTTAAATCTCTAGAAACGTGTTAAGAATGGCAGTTTAAGATGTATACCTTTGTTCCCTCAAAGTAAAATCAAGGCCTCTGTGTCACTGGATGTTGAATTTAATAGTTTGTGATCTTTTCTCGTAATTAGGAAAAATGACAGACATGCTTCGACAAATATGATACAGTCATTTTTTTAGTTTTTCTTGTTGTAGTTGATGTTGTTTTCCTTTAGTAGTGAGCTAAAATGGTTTCTCTCTGTATTTTTAGTTTTTCGTTTAACAATTACACTTACAAAGTTGTTAATAATACATCAAAAAAAAAAAGCAAAGCAAAAGATTCCAAATCAAACCGAGAAAGAAAATATTTTGTTCTTCTTGTTCTTGTTCTTCTTCTTCTTGTTTCTCAGCAAAGTTTGGTAGTCAGGTGGTCCGATTGTTTCAAGATTTCGGTGTTGTACATGTCCAAGGCGTGATTGACGCGGATCATCTCGCTGTTGTTGAGCTTGAGTCGATGTTTCAGCATACAGGAGAACAGGTCCAGTTGGGGTTTCCCAGGAGCCACCGGCGAAGCCAGACGATTAATCCTCTCCCGGATGTCCAGTAACAGGAGCATGATGGACGAGGACGAGTAGAACTGGGTTCCCTGCGTGTACGACTGGTTGACCTGCTGGACGGCGCTCCTCAGCAGATCCGCGTTGAATCTCAAGCTGTATCCGAACACCTGTATATCTGAGATCTTGATGTATATCTGACGCTTGTTGGGGTCGGATAAGTCCACCGGGCCTTGACCGGTGTCGTTACGCATGACCGTTGGCACCTTGGCTCGGCTTCGGAGATAAATGTGCACCGTCTCGAAAAACGTCTTCCATCGGTTTCCCAACAGAAGGGTCCAGTTAAAGCACTGGGAGTTCTGGATTCGCACTTTCTCCCAGCGCGGGTATCCGTGTTCGCCGAACGGCATGCTCCATCCCTCCGAGTGGCTCCCGCTGAACGGGTTCACGTACACGAAGAACATCGGGTCCACGCTGCTGTTTCGCATCTGGCAGATCTTCATTGACAGGCCTACGATCATATGCAGGTAGTCCATTCGGTTCTTGTTGCTCTTGAGCGTTAGCGACATTCTCTTGCGCCAGCGCGGGTCGAAGAAGGTCTCCAGGCGCACCTCGTTGCTGATGAATGTGGTGTGGATGTGGAGACGCGAGTCCATCTTCTGGAGCAGGTACTTGAGCTCCAGGTCCTGGAAGTCCAGGTCCGTTTCGAAGCTGATGAACTGCTCGCTTCGCTCCGAGTCCACGTTCTGCGGTTCGCAGCGGCCGCGGTACAGCTTGTAGCCCTTGTTGCAGGATCCGCACTGGGAGATGTTGGCTAGACTGCACATGGCACAGCTGTTGTTCCCGCCGATCACGCAGGGAATGGGTCGCTGGCACAGGGTGGCACCCGTGTGGCACACACACATGCGCTGGCTCTCCAGGAACGCTCCCCAGAAGCCGTTCTCGTTGCAGTAGAGGAACGACTGCACGCGGTTCAGCCACTGAAGCACCGATCTGAAAGCAGACAGAGAACAATGCAGTCAGGAAAGGTGAGGGGGGATGCTCTTCACGTGGCGAATTTTGACCAAAGTTTTGTTTTATTTTATTTTATTTTTTATTTTCATTGAATTATATTAATTGTTTTATATCAGCCACAGAAGCACTGATCTGAAAGCAGACGGAGAACAAAGCAGTCAGGGGATTTTTTGGGGGGTGCTCTTCACATGGCGATTTTTGACCGAAGTTTTATTTTATTTTATTTTATTTTTTATTTGTATTTAATTATATTTATGTTTATTTTTTATTTTTATTTTTATATCAGCCACTGCAGCACCGATCTGAAAGCAGACAGAGAACAATGCAGTCAGGAAAGGTGAGGGGGGATGCTCTTCACGTGGCGAATTTTGACCGAAGTTTTGTTTTATTTTATTTTATATTTTATTTTTATTGAATTATATATATATTTTTTTATATCAGCCACTGAAGCACTGATCTGAAAGCAGACAGAGAACAAAGCAGTCAGGGGATTTTTTTTGGGGGTGCTCTTCACATGGCGAATTTTGACCGAAGTTTTATTTCATTTAATTTTTTTTTAATTTAAATCTTTTTTTTTAATTATATATATATATATATATATATATATATATATATATATATATATATATATATATATATCAGCCACTGTAGCACCGATCTGAAAGCAGACGGAGAACAATACAGTCAAGGGAAAATGACAATATATATTATTATTGATATATTTCAATGAAAGGATTGTACTATATTTTAGTTTGATAATGTTTTTTTATTTATTTTTTGGTATTTTTGGGGGATTTTATGATACTACGTTATATTTACGCAGTAGTTATAATCCATTTATTACGAATTCGTACGATTTGCCTAAACCCCAGTGATGTGTAGGTTTAGGGGCGGGGTCAAGGGTAGGTCATTCGTATAAATTCATACGAATTGCCGCGAGATCGGGTTGTTTATTCACGCTTTAAGCATTGAATGTCCAACTTAAACTGTATATCTTGAATGCTTTAAAGCACTGACTTAAGCTTGATCTCTTTTTTAAAGACGACACTTGGAAAATTATTGCTGAAGTAAAAAATTTTTTTTTTTAAAGTGAACTTAACAAAAGTTACAGAATGTTATGTTTATTGTTATGAAAAATGTATTTTCAATTTGTATATGAAATCTGTATTTTCAAAAACACGTTTTACTCTAAAACTGCAAGAAAAGTAAAGCCATAAATCTAAACAAATTGTTTTCCAAAGTTGAGCTTCAGGCAGATTTTGTTTGGCTGCAGTACCAAAAGATTTCACTAGATGAAATTCGTCTCCCATTCATTTCCAATGCAGTACAAGTGTGAATATTTTTCCCAGGACCACTTAACCTTTTCGAATCATGTCCATGATTTGTGTGTGTGTTCACTAGGGATGTAACGATTCACTCATCTCACGATGCGATACGATTCACGATACTGGTTTCACGATACGATTTTCTCACGATTTTTTTAACAAATGAGATTTAAGACAAAAGTGTCCCTTTTATTATTTCTCAGACAAAATGCTGCACATTTCTTTTTAATTTAAAATATATTTGTCAAATAATAAAACTACATTAAAAAAATTCCCTTCAAGGTTGTTTCAACTCAGTCTTTCTGTCTGTTTGGTCAAGAGGCTGGACACTGGTACCTTCGCACACTATGTAAAAGGCTGTGTAAAATTAGTAGTACCAGATTGACAGGGGTTTTACATTGTAATAAAGGCAAGATTCTAATTTTGTTATAATTTGTATCATTACACTAGTAAGAGTAAAAAAAAAACACATTTAGAGAAAGAGATAGTAAAATAAATACAACACCTGGTTGCCACGGAAACACTGATGCACCTTGTGATCTCCGTGGCTCTCGCAATTGTAGTATTAATGACTTTTACATGAAAACGGAGGTGACTGGTGTTACTCACGGTGGTGATTATTATTAGTCTACGGAAAGTCAAAATGCCGCCACACCTCCGATTTGAATGAGTCAACGTCAACATCTACGCTTGCCGTCGCCAAAGCCATGTCTACTGTTTGACGGCACGTGCACACCAGTCTATGGCACACACTGGTGCGGCGCGAGCGGAGCAACGAGCGTTTTCAGTTCATTCCTATGGAAGTTGAGCTTGGCTCACACAAGATCAAGTTCCATGAATGAAGTGAAAACACTCGCTAGCTTCACGCCAGTGTGTGCTCGCTGCTATTGTGCTATTGTAAAGCGAGGTTCACAACTTCACAGTAGGCTATAGTAAACGCGCCCTGCGGTTTAAAACGTGTATCGCGATTCGTTTAACATTTCAACCGACTTGAATCGTCACACATTTTTATCGATTTTCAACCGGTTGCGAGTGAATCGTTACATCCCTAGTGTTCACATAGCAAGTGCCAAAACCTTTACCAAGTTTCGTACCATTCCGATGAAGTAAAAATTACAAAAAACTTTTGGGTCAAATATGACCGAAGAGCACCAGAGGGTTAATAATGCAGCATCCAGTCCGAAAGCACAAAGCTCCCGCCTCAGCCCACTGACGTTTGTTACAGTCTAATCACTAAAATGGGTAATTTATTCTGTCAAATTTCCCCAATGCACACCTCGTCTTTTCTCTCCCCGCCGGCACTTTGCCTTGTCATCCTGAAAGCCTTTGGAGCTTCTCTGCTGCATGCGGGGAGAAACCAATGCCTGAATTTTGATTTCTGGGAGACAAAGTGCTAAAGCTTATGATGACATGTTAATAAACCCAGAGTCGGATAAAAGATATTCCTACTAGATATTCCTTGAAGATGGTGTTAGAGAGGCAATGCTGCACTAACTCTCCTCTCAACCAAATTGTGGAGGATAATGTTGTTTTATCATGGAAATGGAATGGAAATTGTTTTATTTGAAACAGGGACAATGCACAAATAAACATTAAACAAGAGAATATGTCTTGGGCCAGGTTATAGCAACAATTGCTAATTTCCACCTGTAGTTCCTGGCAAGTATGACAAATAAAAAAAAATAAAAAAACGCTTTTAAAAAAGAAATTTCACAGGATTATGGATAAAGTGATGTCCATCGTAATTACAAGGCCATCAGCCCATTTACTCTCTGTCCCAGCAAACACACTTCAACAATTTAGCAGTATCTTAAGCACATTAGAGCACAATCCAACTCTAGACACTCATACACACACACACACACACTCACACACACACACACACACACACACACACACACACACACACACACACACACACACACACACACAGATACATTATCTTAAAGATGTGTGCAAACTTGCTTACTTGGCAACCAACTCTTTGTTAGGCATGAGGAAGTGTGAAAATGTGTACATAAGATAACATGGGAACTAAAGTGGTAATTATTTGCTATTAAATTAAATCAATTCCAGGTATAAATTCCAGGTATAAATCGGTGATCTAGCAAGGTGCTCCCAAATTTATGAACAAACGTTCTTCTAGTGACATCCAAGGTATCGGGTCTATAATAATGTTCTCAAAACACATATAATGTTTTTTTTATGTTTTATGTTACTACTTACGTTGACCCACGTCATCAGATATGACATTTTCATAACTTAATGGGCAAACTTTTTAACATATATTTGTGATCTGGGAAGCAGCTCTAATTAAGATAAGTGTCATTATTCAACTCAATTCAGTTCAAATTCAGATGTCAGTTCAGTTGAATCGATAATATTACCTTAAATATGAATTGCCATGCGATTATGCATTCCTGTACAAACCACAAAACTCGTGCGACCCAGTGGAAGTGTGACTAATTATATCAACGTTTTTGAAATACAAACACGTTTCTAAAACTAGATGTGTAATGTAAATTGAAAGCAATGCATATGAAAATGTTTTCAAAAGCTATCAATGGGGAAATGAAATGGTAAACCTGTAAAATGAGCATCTTGTGGCATTCAATCTATATATAAATAAAGATAAAATCCAAGCCAGACGTTATTTGGTTTCCAGTTCGCTCCAGATTACTTGACCAATCAAAAGCTTAAGATTAGTCCCATTCGATTTGAAGCCAGTCATCTCACTTGTGGCATTTAATATTGTATTTTTTTCATATTTATTTGCAATAAGCAAGCTTTATGCATTCAGACTCCCATATGTAATATTCTCTAAATGCTTTTCCCAATAGTGGCTTGCTGGTTTTATTTTGCACTGTTATTTGTTTAGCTGAAACAAGTGGCTGACTTGAGTTCGCCATGGGGGATGAAATGGAGACGACGGAAAAGAATGCTGTTTGTTTTCACATCCTCATGTTTGTAATGGAGCATCAGACCGCTCTGCTGCACAAACCCTGTGACGTACATCATTGCAATTTCTGTTGTAATGGATGATGGATGAGTAGAGAGTAGAGTAAGCCATACAGAGTGAGGGGGAGGCCTGTATATCTGCTTCATTTCTTTTATTCAATTAAAGATGCTGCAAGCGATACTGCAAACTGTCAGATATCTCTGTGTTGGCATTACACCAAGCTCAACCAACAAACCTTAGACAGGAATCAAAACAAGGCTGACTTAAAGTCCCCCTGTAGTCAATCATTTTATCCCTTTAAACTCATCTTTGATCACCAAAATTACATATTTAAGCGTTTTTTCCTCATGCATTAAAATAGCTTGAATGTAACTCGACACCTCATTTAGTATGCGCGGTTCTATGAATATGCAAATGAGCCCCGCCTCCACTCACTCCCTCAGCTCAGAGATCCACTGGTTGACGATCACACGTTGATCTGATTGGTTACAAGCTCGTTTGTGACGTCAGAAACACCAGCGATTTCAAACCGTGTTTTTGAGACTGTCTTTGGTTCACTGCAGTTTTAAGCAGAAATACTCAGCAATGCTGTCGACTTATGAACTTACACATGGTTTAAGCGTATTAAAAACACCACATAGACACATAAGCAACATTAAAAGCTGGATTTTCACCACAGGGGGACTTTAAAATGC